TCTTAAAAGCCTAAAATATGATGCTAATATGCTCTAAAAAAACCTAAAATAATCTCTAAATATTCCTTAAACTTGTAAATATGCGATAATATGATTTTTATTTTCTTAAATAGTTCAATAAAAACATTAAAATACTGTTATGGGCCATTCCTCTGGTAACAGGTAAATTAGTTAAATATAAAAATGTAAAACAGTTCATACATAGGAGTATAAATATAATAAAATTATATATAAAAAACAAAATAATTAAATAAAAACAATTTTTATGCACCATTCCTTGGTAAAAGATAAATTATTTAAATGGAAAAAATGAATAACAGTTTTATATATAGGAATATAAATATAACAATCAAATTTTTTTTCTTAGAAAAATCACAACTCAAGAAGTTAATTAAATATGTTTTTTTATGAACAATAACTGAACATATTCAAAAATATGAAAAATAGGCTAAATATTTTCTAATGTTCAAAATATGCAAAAATATGCAAAATAAATGATTTCCTATGAACTCTATGATAGATAAATCGCCCACATTTTTTACCCTCGTAAATCTGTATAAAGCCAATAAAAATATGTAAAAACTTAAAGATCCGCTCTCTAGTAATAAACTATCTTTAAAATATTTTTTGGATAATTGGTTTTTTATGGAATAATTAAAAAGTTGTGGTTAAATTGGTGTTAAAGATATTGACGTTATACGAAAAACAAACTATTTCCCAAGGATTCTGTGGTTGTAAAATATTGGGAACTACTGTATATACTTTATACCAGAAATGGTCAATTTTTTTTTAACCGCGATGTACAAAAAATATACTTCTCACCTTTGAGGATCGACTTCCAAAAAATATTTTTTTTATTATTAAGTAGGTATCTATAATTTTCGTGTACATAGCGTAAAAATAAATTTTAACACGATCGACTTTGAAATCTTTGCGATCGATCATCTGTCCCTGCTTTATACGTACATCTATTTATTGTCTATTCATATAATATATGAATGCATTTTTTATTGATCGTCATTATTTTTATTTGTTTCCTATTGATTAATATCTCCACTACATTACTCAAATTAGGCTTTAGTAATGGTTGTTATTTGTATTTTTTTTTATTAGTTTTAATTTTCAAGGAATTGCAGTATACACCAATAATGAATAGTATATAGTGCAGTAATTTTTATTTGTTTATATTATTATAGGTTTTAGTCTATAGTCGAGAAATCATATGTAATCAATCAATTATTTAAATATATAATATGATTAAACAACGCATTCAGAATGGGTTTTCACATTATTTTGAAAAAAATATTTGAATATTGAATTCAACAAAAATCTTATTTTTTTAAATGGTCTTTTACAATCATATTTTTAATTTTTTTATTGTGATCAAATTTACGGGTTCGAAAATTTTATTTTGAATTTTTTATATAATTGGACATTTAAAACTATAATTCTAATTCGAAGATAAAGGTTTTCTATTTTCTAGGTAATGTTTAACAAATCGTCAGAAAACACCAAAGAAAAATTTCAGTAATGACATTAAATTTCGTATTTCAATTGTTACAGTAACTTTATAGTATAAAGCTTATATAATTTTATACAAGGCTAATATTTTACCTTTATACTGTTTTAAAAATTACATAAAAAATGGTCTAGTACAATTTTGAGCAAAACCTATTATTCTTATGAATATAAAGATAGTTATTTTATGCATTTTTTGAATAATCTTTCGGATTATAAATTTGAACCATGAGTTTCTATGCTGTAATTTTTGTGTGTAGGTATAATATTGACAGATTTTATTGTGGAACAATAAAATAATTTAAGAAATAAAGTTCATTAAGTATAAAATAACACGGTAAAATATTCGATTAATTCCATAATTTTTATGTAGTTTCATTATAAATAAATATTAGTAATTTTGTATTAAAAAAAAATATGTTACTTATATTTTCATTAGAACTATAACAATATGCTTTTCGTTAAATAATTTTTTTATATGTTTTTTATCATTATTACTAAAAAACTATAACAGCTTGGAACTTTCAAACGAAGAGTATAAATCATTTGAATATATTACTTGATCTTATTCTTACAATAACGTATTGTATTTCAGACGAATGGCAATTTTCTTTTCATGATTAAAATTTTAAATATAATTATATCATGGTCAATTTACTATCTTGGAACTGGGACTTTGAACTGATGAATTTATGTCAAATAAAATAAGTACTAAAAAAGACATTGCTTAAATATTTTTATGTTGTTTAGGAGATATTTTCACTTACTTAATCTAGTAATTTATTTTGACTTTTTAGCTTCTATAAAATTTTTTAAAATGTAAAATAATTCAAAACAAAAGAATATTGTTTTATTTTATTGGATAGAAGACTGTTGCGTACACTGCTTATCAAACGTACCTTTTTATCGACACGATTGCGTGTTTATTATATATAATATCAATTAAAATATCATTGCAACGCTGCCATATTTCTTTGGATACAATTTTAGTAGTAAATTTAAATTTCAAATCACTTACATTCAGTGACGTATACGAACCCCGAATCAGTGCTAAGAAAAAAAATATATTATTCCATGTACTAATTATAATTATTTAAAAGTTCTATTTTATTTTTTATTATCATTATACGCTATAGGAAATTTGAAATATACAATATACAAATATTATTTAAATCTATACTATATTATATGTATGGAATTAATATTATTAATAATCAATTAAAAATATAATTTTAAAAACTTGGTTTTTTTAATGCGTCCTGAATATTTGTTACTGATGTTTTTGGAATTAGTTTTACAACGGATCATCGATAAAAAATGATAAAAATGAGTTACTGGTTATTTTGTTTATTATATTTTTTATATAATATTTACCTGACATTAAACATAATTAAACATGTTGATAACATTATTGAGTTCATAGAATTGGAATACAATAATAAGGTAACATGTGGACTTTACGTTTCGGACGTCCGACAATAATATTTTAATATTATTATTTTTATTTTCTACGCAGGTAATAATTATTTGGAGTATATTTATTGAATGGTATACGTATTATTTTTATCAATTACGATTTAAAATATTATTATTGTCTTAAACCGTATGTATTATCATTACCAATTATGTTTAAGAAAAGGTCATATTGGCTTACAAGTCCCATATTCTGATCTAATTATTCCATTTTGTGATAAATGTTGGAACAATAACTGTTATAAATGAGGAAATGTTAATTAAATCGGACACGTGTAAACATTTTTACAGTTTCGAAGTGGTGTTTGATTTTTGATGTACTGTTATGTTTATTCATTCATAACTTGCTGAGAATATTTTAAATGTTTTCCGAACTTTTAACTTAACCGATGAGTGCATGCTGTGATAATTTGCTCAAACATCAGAATTTCTTAATAATTAATGCTTGCATCTAAATTAAATTATTATGGTTACTTTAACAGACTTGAACCAATTTCATATATTTAATTATATATGATTCCTCCTACTTTTAAATTATTTATCCAAATCGCAATACGATATGGACTGACCTGTACAGAGAAAATTGTTCACAATCGTTTGCGCAATATATTCTAAAATTCGAAAAAGTTTAGTAAGATTAATGGGGACAAACGAAACTTACCGTAAATGGTATACAATAATGCTAACATTTTTTCGTTAAATTCGAAATAGTCCAAGTTAGGTCCAAGTCTGAATTTCAGCGAAAATGACGGTTATTACGTCTTGAAAGTCAACGATGTTACATAATACAATATTTTTTTCCGTTGCAGAGTGAAATTGTACTTTTCTGATACACCGGTCTAGCCGTTTACGAAGTCGTCGTTGTATGTTTTGACACTGAACATTATTGGTGAAATAATTGAGGTCAATAAAATCTTATATCAAAATATTAGGTTAACTGTTATTGAAACTATTTAAACGGCCGTGGCATTTTTTTTTTTTTTTTTTAACAATTACTCATCAATAAATGTAAAACGTATGTTCACTAATGTTAAACGATCATTGATCAATGCGAACATTTTTACGTAAAGGGTATGGGGAACAATAAAAATGAGAATAACGTTTGACAGATTTTATACCTATAATGATGGTCCTGCGACTACAATTACGTCGAATTTCAATCGATTTATTTGCGATGCATGCGTAACGCGCGTTGTCCGAGCAAGGACAATATTCGCACGTTAGTTTCATAACGGTATAATTGGTCGAATCGTCGTGTTTCAAAATATCGTCGTGTACGGTACGAAAATAATTCTGTTATGTCGCACGATAAGATTATTTACGTTTCGACCGGAATCGCACGGATTCGAAAATCTCATGTGCACGTATTATGATTGTAGACTATGATGTTTGATGTTTACGTCTGGATCGAAAGAATACAACGCATGTAATTGAATACGCGCATAAGAACACACACTCGTACACACATTCACTGGCACTGATATTTTATCACTTCACGTTCTCGACGGAGGGCAGCGTTGTACGGTTAGTAGTGCATTGCACAGTCGTCGTAGTATTTACACCGTCGCACGGGAGTGGCAAAAATATTAGTAATAAAAAAATAATAAAATAAAAAAATAATAACCGATAATATTGTATTTTCGTAAAAAGCAGAGCGCGCGCGCTGTCGCGTGTGCGTACGTGCGTGTTATTGCGCGTGTACGGTTAAGAAGAGTGTATAAAAAAAAAAAAACCTCATACAACGGAAACGGAGCACAGCATCAATATAAAATAATATCATATCGTAGGCTTGCGTCACACTAGCTCGTGCGTCGCTCTCGCGGTAGGCGTGCAGCTACCCTTTTCATCGTCGTCGTGTACTTGACCCCGCAGAGTCAAATCGATCAACATGGAAAGAAAAAAATAATAATGATTACAAATTACCAACAATAACGGTTCTCGATTAATCGATGGAATGAATTCGTGCGCGGCCGTCGTCATCGTTTTTATTGTTGACGTTGTTGTTGCAGGAATGTGGCGACCGGTATTGTAGTCGTCGTCGTCGTCGTCGTCGTCGTCGTAGTCGGTGTGCGATACGCAACTAACCCTTTTGCGCGTCCGTCGCCCGCCCGCAGTTTCCGGTGCAGGTACACGCGCACCACGAGCCGCACGCCGTCGTGATCATCGTCCGTTAGGTCGTCCACCAGGTACGGAACCAGCGAACAGGAAGACCGTCTTCGATCCTTTCGTACCCCCCCCCCTCGTCACACGCACACGCGCTGTGCCACCGGAACCGGCCCTTTTGCAGCAGCCATGATCTGGACCCGCGTTTACTTCCTGACCATGTGCGCGTTCGTCGTGGGCGGCGCGTACATACTGGACGACACGCCGCTCCACTGCTCCGTGCGCCGCAGCATCTCGCCGTGCACGTGCTACTTCACCGGCATGGGACAGCCCCGGATCATGGTCACGTGCCAAAAAATGGAATCGTTCGAGAGTGTCATCGGGGCGCTGCAGAACAAGTTCGACGCCGTGTTCGACTACATGCTGAACATCGAGTATTCCGAGCTCCACGACCTGGACACGAGGCGGTTCGACGAGCTGGGTTTCCCCATAGTCGACCTCAAACTGACCAACAACAACCTCAGGTAAACACATCGCGCGTACTTTATGTCCTCTCCCCCTCCCTGGTAGTGGTCGTAAGTAGGGCAAGGTCGGTATTCTCCACGAATAAAATATTTTTTTCTCCCCTGCGCGGGTGTCCGATGTTCTCAATAATTTCAATTCAGTTGCAGAACCAATCGGTGCGCAACGCGAAAAAAAAACATAACTAAACGATTTAACTTAAAATTTTTAGTTTCACTAGTCGACAATGTGTTAACAAATAATATATTAGGACATGATAAGCGTGGCAGAAAGAAATCGTTTAATATCTTCAGTAGATTAAAACAATTACTTCCTGTTTTGAAATTATACAAGTGCATTGAAAAAAGTAATGAGGTCGAGGGAGAGGGATACGCACCCAGACGCCAGGTCGGACTCCACCCCCCATGACCAGTGCCAGGTATAATTGTGATATTTCGTTTCCACCTGTAGTGTATACTTAATCCTCGTGTGATAGCTCGGAAAATAGTGATTTTGAGATATGTTTGGTTGATGTATTATAACACAAAGAAATGTGTTTGTAATATGTATTTGGTTCCGTTGACATTCACGGCGACAGTTTTTCCATTCCACTTCAACGATTTTCCACACGAGAACTGTTGTCTGCCGAGTTCTATGCATGCAATTCGTCTAATGGTCTTGCATCCACATCACGTACGGTAAACATATTTCTTGTGATATTCACTCCGAGTTTGTGCATAATGTACAATGCATTGTACCCGAGTTTGACACATTTGATGCAGTAATCGTTAATCGAAAAACTTCGAGCTTTCTAAGATTTGCAGACGGATTTATTGATACCACATTTTATGAAGCCTACCGTTTCAAATTCATAAAACTATAATAATGAATTGGCATTTATTCTCACTCGTGTATCATCCGATGATGTTCAAAATCGATATAATAATTGTAATAATTGCATTACTGTATTGATACTACAGGTACACAAACACAAATATATAAATATTATATATATAAACTACAGTGAAATATAATAAATCTTATTTTATTGTTTGTAATTATGTTCAAACACGCAATAATTTTAATGCGTGTATTCTATGGTGAACGAAATATTTATTATTTATTTTATTATTTTTTTACAACAATAACAACAATAATATTTAATAATCGTATACTTGGAAATTTGTATTAAGATAAATTCTGTCCTTGATCGGTCAAAAGTTTAGGAAATATAATATTATAATATTGTATGATGTACAGTACAAATAGAATATTCACAGTAAATCACATTATACCTGAGAATGTCAACACTTGCGAAATGTTATCCTGTCGATTACATATTATATATTATAATACTTTTTTTACGATCAGAAATAAATCATATATGGACATTATAAATAATATTATTTATATTTAATATATACATATTAAACCCTCATAAGCTATGATAAAAGTAGAAATAAGAAATTGTTTAAAAAAACATACCGGTGAATATAAAATCTAGCCCTAATTAGGACATATTACGATCTATATTATTGCTTTTATTTTTGAACAAGCAGTACGCTACCAGACAAAGCTTTCATCGGTATGAACAGAATACGGATTCTGTACTTGTCTGATAACAGACTCAGTGCTGTGCCTACGCAGATATTCAAACACATGCCTAGTATCCAGGTGCTGAATTTGGCCAGGAATTCCATACACAGCGTTGCGTCCGGAGACTTTCAAGTATGTCGTATACACCAACTATTTTATCGTTCATATTGTACTGCAGTTGCCTGCGTAAAACGTAATGTAATAATTTATAAACAGCTACTGGGACACTGCTGTAGCAGTTATTACACTATTATTAGTATGTGTTTCTTATCCGGTAATTTGGCTTATTACGAATGCGTGTGTAGTAAAACAGGAAGCTACGAGAAGCGTCTATCATTTACCCTGTGATCGTATATACAATCGTTTGCATCAACAAATGAGATAAAAGTGCTGTGAAATTATTTTTCATCAGCGAAAAAACAAATAAATTAAATAATAATTTATATACGTAATGTTTATCTTTCGTAATTAATATTCACAATAATATAAAACGCTTATATGCGAATTATGTGGAAATATTTATTCGGTTTCAGACTCAGAATTGTTGAAAATAATTCATACTTCTTCATTAAAAATTTCATTGTATATCTGAAATGTTTTATTTATAAAACGTATTATTGAATTTAAATACCTTACGAATACAATATTTATTCAAATAGCTAGTATCTATTTAAATAATAATGTTTAAATGTTTCAAAATGAAATTTATTTTCCATAAAATATAATTGATAAGCATTCATATAACTTTTAAGTACGTGAAAGTATTTATTATTTTATCACATTATATATTGATAATAATATTCCACTTTATATTGTTATTTTACAAAAATAATGTGATACATTTTATTTGAATACATTTATTAAAATTAATGTCTGGTTGAAATTCCGGATCTTTAAAAAACTTGATTGTATGATATTTTGATAATGATTGAATTTTACAATTATTTTTAGAGCCTTTCATTAATGAACACGTTCGTGATGGCTACAAATAATTTAACCGATATAACAAATGGGTCATTTCCAACAACCCTAAAAAAAGTTCAGTTGGGTGCAAATAACCTAACGGAATTGAATGGAAATTTAAGGTAAACATAATATTCAACCAACTTTCTACGCACTCGTGATTGTTGTATATCACTTGCTTGGTTTTTGTTTTATTCTATTGCTTTAGTAATGTTATATAAATGTTATGAAAGAGTAAAATTCGATCGATTCAAATAATGTAGGGATAAATAAATCAATATTATTATTATAAAATATTAAATATGATTCTCATATAAAACATAACAAAATACATCTGTGATGTGTAAATTTTTAGCTAGTGTATTAAATAAAATAATAATTATAATTGATAAAAATGTCACTATTTGAGGTTTTTAACGTAAACGTATATATTTATTAGAAATCAAAAAGACCTCGAATGGCTGTATTTGGAAAACAACCGAATAAAAAATCTCGACGGAGAACTACCGATTGATAACAACAAACTCTACGTATTGAATGTATCCAACAATATGTTAAATCATCTTCCACCCGAACTTTCTCGTCTTATGGCTCTGCGATATTTTTCCTGTACATTTAATCAGTTGACTGGCCTGAACAAAACATTGTCCAAGTCGAAAAAATTATTTTGGCTCGAACTCACCGGCAACCGAATACAAGAGGTATAGTAGCATACATAAAATATATCGTTGTGTACTGGACATTTTATTTTTAATAATTACTATGTGTCGTTATAACACGTTAGTTGGCGTCCGATGAATTCGAAGAAGCAACGATGATCGCAGTGATGGAACTAAGTAACAACCGTATTAAATACTTGAACAAGTCATTGCTGCCACTTACCCAACTGTCGGAGATCAATTTATCTTACAACAACATAACTGAGTTTTCGTTGGCTGAAATCAAGGGATTGAAAGAATTGAAACTGGTCGATTTGTCGCACAACGCAATATCCAAATTATTAGGCCATTCTGAGGTGAGTTATTATTAAGTTGAAATAAGAGTATGTTTTGAAACGGTTAAATAGACACAACTTGTGTACTCTATTATGTATGTATATATATAATATATATATACATAATATATATTATATATATATATATACCTTTATTAATTCATGTTTTAGATTATAAGCGAACCGGTGACTGGAATCGAACACTTGAAATTAGACCACAACGAGTTGGAATCGTTAGGTGGTTCGTTGATCGGTATCACGACATTGGTCAAACTGAATATCAGTCATAACAGATTTAAGGATTTGTCACCGTACGACCTGACGGGATTGAGTTTAAAAATCTTAGATGTGTCGCACAATCTATTGCACATACTACCAGACTCCTCGCAGGTAAATCTATACAACTACAGTAACATTACCATATCGTGCGCCGCATTATTTGTCATTAATACATAATATATAAACCAACGGTTGGTTCTCATCCATAGATAAATTTACCAGCTCTCGAGAATTTGGTAGCTTCGCATAATGCTTTGACCAGCCTTTCCAAAGATTTCCACGGATATCCCGTGCTCTGTCACGCAGATCTCGAGTTCAACAACATACTAACCATTCGGGAGGAGCTCGTTGAAATGACTCAGTGCAAGTTACACGGAGTCAACAGCACGTTGAGAATATATTTGGAAGGTAAGTAGCAACGTATAAAAGAGACGTTTTCGAGGCTTGTAGAGACAAGGGTGGAGTTATACCTATGTACCTACGTAGTTATACCTACGTGGATTGATTTATATCTTTGTAACTATGGTTGTTAATTTAATGCACTATGAAACCTTTAAAAATGAATTTTAAATCCTAAAAATTATAGTTTATTATTCATTAAAATGTGCGATTATAATTGTTTTGAAACACTGAAAATCAAAATTTTCATATTCACATTAATTTAAAATAAATAAAAATAATTGAATGTGAAAAGTAATTATAAAAATTTTGAACGAATTAGAATTGACGAATACAACTGTGTAAAATTAAAAATAAATTTGTGAATGATGTTAATTGATGAAAATTGATAAAAAAAAAAAGAGAATTGAAGAATTAGAAACGTTAAAAAATGCGATATTGAAGTTTCCAAACGAAATTTATTAAAACATGACTTTTATGCCAAGTAAGCTATGAATTATATGCAAAAAAAAATTCACTTCCCTACAAAATCACAACTCTATAAGTATATAAATAACAATAATATAAGTATATATGTAACAATAAATATATATATACGCAATACCAGAGCAAGGATATTTCCCGAGTTATTAAGTGTAAACTATTATCTCAATAATTGCATATAAGTAGTATATATAATTATTATGCTTTTGTATCCGGTCGAATTAATCTATACAATATTATTGTACATTGCTTTTACTGATTTGGCACAACAGGCAAATCAATTATTTTAATAGTTCAAATTTCAAATTTATCCAAATCCATATACTTAACTAATATAACTGATATACATTAATGTAACTGGCCATCATTGCATGATGGAATGTAATGTTATGAAACCGTACACCTGTATCACTATCACAACTCGTCGTTTGAATACCTATAACCCATGCATGCTGAACCTACATTATGCGAGTCTTACGAAGTATCACGTGCACTTAATTTCATCGTTACTCTGATTAGTGCCAGATCTAAGTCTCAGGAGGTCGGGGTGCAAATACCAATTAGAGGCCCAATATTTTTTTTTGTAAAAGTAATTTATATTTTCATTTTTGTGCACCACTTTCAAGTATACATTTAATGTTTAACATTTTACATTATACGTTGAATGAAACGCTACGAATAAATATAAAAAAAAAGAACAAGAAAAAAAAAATTAAACCGACAATTTCAATTTTAGATTTTGGTTTTAGAGGCCCCGGTGCATTGCACCCCCATTACTTTCGTTAAATCCGACACTGACTCCGATTCAAATTGTGTATTTAAACTAATTTGATTTTTACGAATACATAATTTTTTAACTTATGTTAAAAATGTAATAGAATAAAATGTAATAGTAATAAACAGTGTAAGTTTTAATATTAAAGTAGAGTAAATTATTTAAGCTGATTTTGACGTGCGCATTATAAAACGATTTCATACTAAAATGAGTCACGTAATCGGTACTTGTTTTGTGATGGCGATTAATTTTTTTTTTCGGGGGGGGAGGGCAATTTACCTACTGCGAAATGATTGGGGCTTAAATAATTTGCAATTAATTGGTATGTACCGTATATCTTAATTCGTTGTTACTACAATACTACCTTTAGGAGGGATGATCGCTCCTACCACCCCACCCTAAATGACGTGCTTGACTAATAGGCTTGAATTGCTATTTTGCTATTCCTGTTATTTAAAAACGTAATCGTAATCGTCGAATGCACACAACACAATTCTGCAGAGCACACAGTATTTAATGTATTGTTATTAGGTGTCGAGTTGCGTTACGCAGGTCTGTCGATGTGTATGACGAGTGCAAAATTCGTAAGGCGCGGATATATTGCATTTTAATTATTAATCTGTAATATGGTCTCGGTTCGCATCGTAACAGTATACTAACGATTGCGCGATAATGATACCGAATCACATTCTACTGCAGTTTTGTTATTAGATAACAACGTGATACTCAAAAATGTGCTTTGGACTTCAAGCGCCATTAATCGAAGACGACGATAGGACGCATACCGTTGAACGTACAATCATAGTAGAGGCTCTTTTGTTTTGTTTTAAAAAATAATACACCATACCTATGACGTAACGTTTTTATTTTTCCATCACATCATTCAATTATTCTTTATGGCGAATTGAAAAACAACATTTTTTTTTACAAATTTTACAACATGTTGTACAAATTAATTTAAGAAATCAATTTTTGATAGCGAAAATTCAAAACGCTAAATCATAGATGATTTTCTAATCTTGAAAAAAAAAAAAAGAGAACTCTATGAGTTTACAGAGAACGGTTATGTACCGCATAAATACTCGTATTAATAAACTGGTTTAATCACATAGTCCCCATAACGGTTTAACATCGGTTTTTTTTTCGCAGGCAACCCGGTACTGTGCGACGACAACACCAAAGCCATAACCAAGGCAATGGAAATGAAGTATGACGCAAACGTCAGCGGCACCGCCAAGTGCGTGCCCGTCACGAACGAAATCAAATCCAACTTGACCGACACCGACACGTCGTCCGCCATCACTGTAATCGCCACCTGATCAACGCCGTATTATTACAATATCTCCGAACCACGTTTCCGTGTTAATATTATAATTATTTATACGCATACAAATATTTCTATATTTATTGTTTTTACTTGTCTGTTAATTATTAATTACTATTATTATTATTATTATGGTAATTTTTTTTCTCTACCGCCTTTCGGACCGATTGCGCGACTTTTTATATGTATATGTATTATGTATGTATTCAACACGACAAACCTTAAAACGTTTAGGTATTACTTGTAAACGTATAACGTAATGTAAGCTGTACCACGTGGTCTAGTCTAGATCGTTATGCGAATGTATAATAATAACAATACTATGATTATCATATATTATAATTTATACCTAATATACAAAACTTTAATAGTAATAAGACATACAAACAATATAATAGTTATTACTATTAAAGAGAAGCGCTCAGGTCGTATAGTGCGTTTAGTGTTCTCAAAAGGCTGCACGAAAAGCTATGTAAACATAACCCGTACGCGGATTTTAAATTATAAGTTTTGTTAGATATCGTCTGTACCTAATTTCAGAACAAAAGTAGATGGTTCTTCTTTTTTTAGATAATTTCGATATTTTTCAGGAAATCCGTATTACTCTATTATACGATTGATTTTTTTTCTTGTTTTTTTTTTTTTTTCTAAAAATACTGTAAAATGTATGTTTTTTCATAACACTGCTGCAGATGTCGAATATATTGTTTTATTTTTTACAACGCACATTTCTTAATAAGCTTAATTATTTATAGTAGATATGTATGTATATATAATATACATTTACCATATTGTTTCATATATATATATATATACATGATATATATGATAGATTTTTTACGTTTTAATTTTTCGTAAGTGTTTTTTTTTTTTTTTTTTGCGCTACTTGGGCGTATAATATAATATAAATTAGTAAACAAAAGTTTAACTTTCACTGTTCAATTATTTTCTATTGTACAAGTACCTACCTATATTGTTTGTATACGTTTTTGGAACGCGAGTTTTTTTTTATCCTTCACAAAGCTCGTGCAAAGGGGTGAAGGGTAAAATGTATTTAGAGCGTCTCGACTGTCAAAATAATTTTTCCACTTCACTACACAAACTTAACGAGGGTTTCGTTTCCGGTTTTCTTTCGAGAAAAAAATAAGGGGTTTTTTTTTTATGTAACAGAACAATGAAAACTTACAGCAGCTCTTAAATAAAGGTAGAAGGTGACCGAGAAAGACAGAAAAAAGCGGGAAAAATCTACTTCTCCGGAGACTTACCGAGGGTACACATATTAATACGGTGTACGCATTTAGTAGTTGTATATTCGACGGGCGAGAATAACGCCGAACGTTTATTTCAATCTTAAAACCGTACGCATTTTAGCAACCAAAACGTAGGTATACCACGGTTACTATATCGTGTAGTAATTAAAAAACTCTAACCCTAATTGTTATTAAACGTAATCGCTAGTTGGCTAAAGTTAATTAAAAATAAATAAATAAGACAGTACCAGCACGAAACGCGCACGGTTCGGAAACAATATTATAATACCATACGCAGAACGTCGTTCCGTTCGGAGCGCAGTCTACGATTTAAAATAACTTCTGAACGCCGTTATCGAAACTCGTACCCGACCACACGTTCGTTCGTAGTCGTTCTTGTCGTCAGTTTTGGTTTCCAACGGAGCGAGCGCAGGTTTTACGACTAGTGGCTATCTGATGTTCTAGCGGCCGTTGCCTTTCCGGACACATTCATACCTAACTCGTGTGCCAGTGGCGTTTATATGGGGGGGGGGGGCTAGTGGGCTACAGATGAAATGTTTTAAAAAACCTAAAATTTACTTTAAACATATGTTGTATTTTAATGGTGCTTTTTGATTGTTTAGAATTTGCGTCCAACGTCAAATCGTTTTGGGGCATTCTGGAAATGAAATGTGCATAAATACCTACTGTGTCTTGTTCAGTGGCGTAGGAAAACTCGCTAGCGACCCTGGTCAACTTCGAAGGAAACGCTTTTTACACAATTAAAATTTGATGTCACGTTTTTAACCATTAATTTTATTAATATTTTCAAGTATACAATTTATACTTATAAGTTCTAGTATGAAATTTTTTGTTCAAATGTCCTCGCGCTATTTTTATAATTTCATCATTAAATTCACACGCGGTGTGTGAAAATAGACGACTTCTACGTATTTCAAAGATTACAATGAAAAAATGTCGACTTGATCGTACGATAAAAAAAGCGACTTTCGCACAATTTGGCACCCCTGACGTAGGCTCAGTTCGCCATACCCTTGCTACGCCACTGGTCTTGTTCGTAATTCTTAGTTAGCAGTGGTAATTTAACTCTGTCCATAGTAGCCCCTTCCGAATATATTTTCTGTATACGCCACTGCCGTGCGCATAGTTCCGCGTGTTTCAACCTTTTGTTCGGCAACAACGTTTTAGCCGTCCGTTCGGATTCCGCGTGTCGAGTCCGGACCGAAACGCATTCCCGCAAACGTCTCGCTAACACTCTGTTATCGCACTGCGCGCCGTCTGCGGCGGTGTACTGACCAGTTGCCCTCCACCTAATACACCAGTTGCACTCACATATGATGTACACAATTAAAACATAAACTAGGAGAGGTAAATATGTAAATAATTAGTAAAAATGAATATTATAATACAACAAATAAACTGTTTATAATTATAAGCAGGTAACATACAAAGTAATTTGACAAAAAAAATTAAACATTTGTAACTGTAATATTATTGTAGGTACCTATTATGTTTTGTAATAATGCAGTGGCTATTTTTGCTGATTTCCCGTAGTGCACATATTTAAGTTTGAGCTCAGTTACTATCAATTATGAGCTAAAGGGTGAATTTTTTTTATTATTACATAAAAATCGCTTTATAATCGTCTCTGTTTTAAGTGGTCTACCTTAAAATGTTGGTAAAATATTTTTATATATTTAGTATACTTACAGGCTTAATTATACATATTTATATACTTATGTTTGTAATAAAAAAACAAAATATTAAAAACTTATTTTTGACTGGTGATTTATTGTAAAGTTATGATGTGATAGTACTATAAAGGTGGTGCGCATTTTTATTTTTCGCGGTGCACATTTGTAATTTCGTAGTGCACAAAGTGTGTCGTAGTGCGCACAAAAATAGCCACTGAAATATCGACCAACTGCTCGTACAAAATCCAATCTGCTATCATATCATCATACGTATCGTATCGTATACATAACATGCGAGGGCAATTTGAGGTGCATTTTGCTCTAGGTAGTTTTGGGGTGATTGGTATAAAAAAAAATAAAAAGTTACTTTTGGGGGCAACTGGTACACGCCCTTGCGGCGATGGCCCGTACCCGCAGCAGACGAAGAATTCCACGTTTCAACAGCATTGTAATAGCGTACGATTAACGATAATAATACGGTTGTACGATATCGTTGTTGCGCGTCACCCCGACCGCCCCCGGAACAAATCGTAGTCCATTAGCTTTTTCGCGATGAATATTCATTACGTGTGTGTCCGCCCCCCCCCCCCCCCGCTCCCCCGTCATCTGGACGGTCACGCGCTTCGGTGGCGCGTTTAGGTGCAGTTTGTTCAATACGTCCGAGAAAAACCGTAGAAAACAAAAACGCGTTGATCGGACCCGACTCATATATGTGTTGTTGCAATATGATCCGGAAGTTAAGCGCGTCTCGTAACCGATCAAATGTCGATTGAATCGCGTACACTATCCGCGCGCGCGGTAAACGTAATCGAATGTTGGGCGTCGTACGCGCGTAAATCGATTTATACGCTTTTGGAAGGAGAACGGAGGGAGCCGAAGGTGTGGGTACATTTCGAAAAAAAAATATCAAGTATCGGATCTCGACGGATTGTTGGTACCGATGTGAACGTAAAACAACTCCTTTCGTCGCTGAACACTGCATGGTATGCTCATGCGTCGAACGCATTACGAACGTAATGTTTAAAACTTAAAAAATATATACGTATAATTTAAGGACGGGACAGGATCGTATATTATAGGGGTGGCCAAATTGCGGCTCGCGAGCCGCATGCGGCCCTCGTCATGATCGTATGCGGTTCGCGGTCTTATTTACAAAAACCAAAATATTTAAATTTTTTTGTATACATTTATAAAAAAAAATTTTTATTGCACAGATACGAGGCTATAGTGTACAGATTAATAAACACAAAAAAAAAAAAGAAAAAATTATTTATATGAATAATAAATTAAAAAATTAAACATCAAGTTAAATTTGTTTGCGTGGTATTTTTTTCATGTGTACTTTTTTAGTAAGCTTCTTAAGATCTGGTTGAATTGATGTAAGAGCAGTTCTTAGTAATTCTGCGAGATGATCATTAGTCAAATTTTAACGATATTTTGATTAATTATTTATATATATGTTTATCAACTGTTAGCTTTCTTAATTACTTTTGTAGTATAGAAGTACCGATTAGATAATTTGACTCTTAATATAATCTTATTAATACATGTGGCTCGTGTACATAGACATGTTGGCTACCCCTGGTATATTATATTATCGAGTAGGTGTTCGCGTGTGTTCGTTTAATCTAATGTTCGTACACGTGTGCGCGTATATAGTGGGTACGATATTCTTCAATGCACGTTCAATTGACTAGTCGGACGCGGATGATACCGGTTGCACTTCCACTATAACATACCTATATTTTTTGTTTTCATTTCCGCACACGTCCGTCTACGTTTATGTTAGTAATATTATTTCCTTTTGTAACAGGTTAGATAGTTCAATGGAATTTTGATTCATTTTTTTTCTTCGCGATAATGGACCGACTTTTATCCTGTCTGTAGTAGTTGTTTGAAAACCTCTACAGTTAACTCGAACTCTCGCAAGGATCAATTGTAATTGAGTTTCTAACAAATAGAATGCAAATAGAACATTTTTGTGTTTCACTGTACACCGAACTACTCAGAACATATCCCTTTCCATAATCGTTGTACATCAAAAATAATCATGATGATCTAAAAATATAAAATAGCTGAAATGTAATATCTAGATAGTAAAATACCAAAATTCAAACATTCTCGATAAAACAATAA